ATAACCATGGACCTACCTTCCCACGGATTGTGTGATGGTTGGTTCACGTCAAAATAATTCCGAGAAAATCCCTAATACAATTTTTTAGATTACCAATATAGTTCTTGCACACCCTGTATTTTAACAATGAAAATCGATACACTTAGAACTCAGGTGATTCTAAACAAGAATCCGTCAGTCCTAATAGTGATTTTTGAAGTTTGAGCCTATAAAAATGGTCATATACCTAGTTTGACAGGTTTCTAACTTTATTAAAAAAATAATATAATGGGTATCTATCTAGTCTTCAAGAAATTAAAAATTAGTTTATGAATATAATAATTTTATCTTGCCATGCTAACGTCCAATAGTTGTTATGGACGGTGCTCTAAACTATCTGACTATAAAATCGAGATGTTAGTTCAAGGTTGTCACCGCTTTAATTATGCAAATGAGGCAATCGGAATATAAAATCGATATGTTTATGTTAGTTCAAGGTTGTTACCGCTTTTGCATACATTAAGTGCCGACTCATAGATAGGCAATTACTTATACATAATTGAAGTAGGGTAAGTGTTTGGAAGAAGTCCGGAGAGGTCAGGAAAGGGCTGGATAAGGTCGGGAGAAATCTAGACAAGTCTGCATAAAGTCTGGATAAGGCTGGATAAAGTTTAGCTAAGTCTGGAAAAGTTTGGATAAGTTTGGATAAAGTCTGGAAAAGCCAGAAAATTTCTGGAAACGTCTGGAAAAGGCTCTATTAGGTCTGGAGAAATCTAGACAAGTCTGGATAAAGTCTGGAAAAATCTACCCAAGTCTGGATAAAGTCTGGAAAAGCCTGGAAATTTCTGGAAACGTCGGAAAAAGGCTGGATAAGGTCTGGAGAAATTCAGACAAGTCTGGATAAGTTCTGGAAAAGTGTATTTGAAGTCGGGAAAGTGTTTGGGAGAAGTCCGGAGAGGTCAAAGGGCTGGATAAGGTCTGGAGAAATCTAGATAAGTCTGGATAAAGTCTGCATAAAGTCTAGCTAAGTCTGGAAAAGTCTGGATAAGTTTGGATAAAGTCTGGAAAAGAGCCAGAAAATTTCTAGAAACGTCTGGAAAAGGCTCTATTAGGTCTGAAGAAATCTAGACAAGTCTGGATAAAGTCTGGAAAAATCTAGCTAAGCCTAGAAAAATCTGGATAAAGTCTGGAAAAGCCTGGAAATTTCTGGAAACGTCTGGAAAAGGCTTAATAAGGTCTAGAGACATTCAGACAAGTTTGGATAAAGTCTGGAAAAGAGCCAGAAAATTTCTGGAAACGTCTGGAAAAGGCTCTATTAGGTCTGGAGAAATCTAGACAAGTCTGGATAAAGTCTGGAAAAATCTAGCCAAGTCTAGAAAAGTCTGGATAAAGTCTGGAAAAGCCTGGAAATTTCTGGTATCGTCTGGAAAAGGCTTGATAAGGTCTGGAGAAATTCAGACAAGTCTGGATAAAGTCTGGAAAAGTGTATTTGAAGTCGGGAAAGTGTTTGGGAGAAGTCCGGAGAGGTCAGAAAAGGGCTGGATAAGGTCTGGAGAAATCTAGACAAGTCTGGATAAAGTCTAGCTAAATCTGGAAAAGTCTGGATAAGTTTGGATACAGTCTGGAAAAGCCAGAAAATTTCTGGAAACGTCTGGAAAAGGCTCTATTAGGTCTGGAGAAATCTAGACAAGTCCGGATAAAGTCTGGAAAAATCCAGCCAAGTCTAGAAAAGTCTGGATAAAGTCTGGGAAAGTCTGGAAATGTCTGGAAACCTCTGGAAAAGGCTTGATAAGGTCTGGAGAAATTTTGACAAGTCTGCATAAAGTCTAGCTAAGTCTGGAAAAATCTGGATAAAGGCTGGAAATTTCTGGAAACGTCTGGAAAACGCATGGAAATTTCTGGATTGGGTCGGAAAAATTCTGGAAAATCTGGAAAGGGTTGAATTTTAGCGGATCTCAAAGCTCACAATAATCACAAGCATTAGCGTTGAAGTTTGCTTCGGCATTTTCAATGTTCTCCTCGGTTGCATCTTTGTGAAGGACTGTGAATTTGTTACTTATGTGACAATTCTCTGACAATATGCCTATTAGCTGTGCTATTAGATATTGCTCTGTAGATGGTTGTTTTTCAAAGCAAGGAAGTGGTTTAATATTTTTTCGAGGTCCAATAGAAGAATCTAGGTATGTATAGGGTTTTCCAATAGTAACGCTCGATGTTTGACAATAGCCCATGAAAAACTCGATAGTCACACAGGTGCTATCTTTGGCAGCCGTATTCAATTAGTCTCTGCATTTTATTATGGAGCGCTACACGATTGAGCAACGCGTCGGAATTGTTAAAAATTATTATCATTATCAAAACCAATGTTCTATTCGGAAAACGTTTCGTGCACTCCGTGCAATTTATGATGTCAACGATCGTCCTTCAGAATCCACAATTGGCCGACCTAACGTCACTGGATTTTTTTCTCTGGGCATTCTAAAATCCAAAGTCTATGTTGACAAATCTCGAACGGTTGCCGCCTTAAAGGCCAATATTAAGCACTTATTGCTGAAATTGAGCCATTTTTATGCGATAACGAACACTAAATGATTCTAACGACAATCTAAAATTGTCGGAGAAATGTATTGATAATTCGGATATTGTTGAAAACATCTATGAGAAGTAAAGTCCGTCGATTTTAATCTAATACTCGAAAGGAATGTGAGCTGGTGGCACCCTACATTTGAACGCCAATGGTCACCTAAGGTCACCCCTGGTTTTCGCTTCACCCCCTCGCTCCTCATACGAAAAGTCGACGAACAATACTAAAAGAAGGAAGATTCAGGGACTTGACCAAATCTGCAATACTTTCTGCAAGAAATGTTGATGTCGAAGAAATAAACGAATAAGTTGTCGAACTGTTGGACGTCAAGACCGAAAAACTCTACACCAGTATAGATAGTGTCAAGAACTGTGATAATAGTGATCTAAATGATGCTATTCTTCCAAAATATTTAAATTCGCTTAATCCGCCGAATTCCCGCTCCATGATTTACGATTGAAAACGAATTCTATTGTATGCTTATTAGAAATCTAAGCATCAGTGCAGGCCTTTGCAATGGTACAAGGCCTTTAGTTCTGGAACTTGGGGATAATCTGTTACGCTGTGAGATATTGACTGTAGATAAACAGGGAGAAATAGTGTTCATAAATCGAATAACACTCTACTGCGAAAACGTCTACCCCTTTACGTTCAAACAAAGACAATTTTAAAATAAAATTAGCCTTTGCAATGAGTTACGATTAACAAATCTCAAGGACAAACATTTGATAGGATAGTAATTGATCTCCAGAAAGGATGTATTAGTCACGGACAACTTTATGTGGCGCTTTTCAGAGTTCGTTCGTGGGACTCATTCAAACTTTATTCAGGGAAACAAAGAGGCAATAGTGTTGTCAAAAACCATGTTTTTAAAGAATTGTTTTTTTGATAATTTAATTTTGAAATTTCGCAGTCATAGATGATTTCAGAAGATCTTTACAACTTATTTACAAGATATTTGAAGATCACAAGACAAAAACCTGAACACGATAAACATAAATGATTGAAAATAACGAAGAACGACATGAAGACTTAGCACTCTTTAAACTTTGGATTCTTACGAGTTCCATAAAATAGAATAAGTTGCACTGGACATATGCACACCGTATATTCAAAAAATAAGATCGATTTAAAGTCATTACGATGTACCGCAAAAGTAATAATTCACCAACTACTTTGATCACATTTAAAATTTATGTCTACCACGTAGGTACAAACAAAAAATGAAGTTGAATAATTGAGCAATTGAATTTAAAATCTTTTAAAAAATTTTTTTTTTCGATTGTTTGCAGTAAAATGTTGATCGAGTAGACTTCAATAACTGGCCTAATAAAAAAAAAGGAACTTCATGAAAATGTAAAAAAAAAATTAAGACTCGATATCTCGTATTATACCACAGCACATAAATAGTTACTAACTCGGTTTATAATAACACCTTGATTATGGTTATGATTATTCTGTTTTAAATAAACCACTTCGAATAATGTATACCTACACCTACGAGTTCCATAAAACAGAATGAGATAAGTAGACATACGCACACCGTACATTCAAGAAATGTGATCGATTTAAAATCATTATGATATACCATACAAAAATAATTAGTCACCAACTCCATCCATCGCATTTGAAATTTCTTCACTAGAATAACATCTATACAACTTATCTCACTGTTACATTTAATGTATAATGTACATTTAAATCAAAAATTATGCTGTTTTTTGTACAACACCTAATAAATATTTTCCATTTTATAATTATTTTGATGGACTTGATTTAAAAAAAAAGCGCGCGAAGCGCGCTCATGACCTAGTAGACTATATAAAATACCCAGGATTTTTAATGTAATGGTAAATCCACCTTCATTCTACTTATACACTGTAGGTCAGTTTGAAATAGTGCATTTCCATGGTTTGATAACTTTTTATTTTTATGATAAACTAGGAATAATACAATGTAAGCTCACACTTTTTTGCATTTTTGAGATATTTTATAACAGTTTCTCAAAGGTGAGAAATATTCCAAATTCAATTCGGTATTAATTCGAGGCGAAGACCTAGTACAATATGTCAGATTTATAGTACCAAGCGAGTTTTCCTCCATCTTCCAACCTCGACATACAGTCAACAGTCAGTCCTAAATACTTATTCTTGTCCAAAAATTAATAAAATAAAAAGATTATGAAACATTCTAGAAGGAAAAAGACTATTTCTACACTTTCGAAAAGTGAGCTTACTGTTTCTTTACTCTTTACAGAAATGTTCGGTGAAACCTTTTATTTTTATTAGATAAAAACAATGTGGTAAACAAAATTTCCGATTTCTTGTTGAGAGTTCAATTAATTATCGTTCAAATGGAAAATACTAAACTACAGAATCAAACCGATAACAAAACAAAATCTAAGTATTTATCGTACAGACAAGCATTTGTATGATTATTTAACTCTAGGTATTCATTCGGTGTTATTTCAATGCACTACAAGTTAACTAATGTAATTTAATTCAATTTAAAGATTTATAAAAGTCCATGGCACCAGTAGTGTCAAGACTCCGAATAGTATCTTTATAACTCGATAAAGTACCTGAGCTAAATAGATGTTTCCTGTGTGGGTAGTGATCAGTTTTTTTATGTGTATGTTTTTGTTTTTTCAGACATAATGCCCTCAAACGACAATCACGGTATAATGTATGAGGATAGTTCTCTTGAGCCGAGCACCTTTTTGGACTTTTTGACCTTTGAAGATGATCCTCCTTTGGAGTACTCTTGCAGCGAACCCTTCAAAAAGGATAATGGACTGATTAATGGAGATGACAAGTTTCTCGACAGTATTATACAGAGTCTCATGGATAATAATGATAATAAAAATTCTGATGAGAGCTCGAACGATAGTACGTTGGAGTTTGGAAATTTTCTGGACAATCCTTCGTTGGATAATCATGGAATGTCAGTTCTCGGTGTGGATTTTAACTTACAGACCGACCCAGTTACTACAACTTACAGCGATCCTTTCAACTTTGACTTTCAGTTTTCGGAAAGATTAGGTGACTTATTTGCAAACACACCGTTGGATTATAATTTAACCATCGACGGTCCATTAAATGAATACGAAAATCAGGACATCATCAGCAAGTTTCCCCACATGAGTGATGAAAAAAATCGAAGAAGGCGAAATTTACTATACGAAAATCCTTGTCCACAATTTAGTGGTACCAGTGGAAAAGCTAAAAATGACGTGCATTTTTTCAAGAAGCGAGATCATGATTACACTCAGAAAACCAAAGCAGATGACCATAAGTGTTTTTCATGCCCCCTAATCGATTGTGATAAAATTTACTCAAAATCATCCCACCTGAAAGCGCATCTAAGAAGACATACAGGTGAAAAGCCTTTCATATGCACCTGGCAAAATTGTACGTGGAAATTTTCAAGATCCGACGAACTAGCTCGGCATAAAAGGTCTCATTCGGGTATCAAGCCCTATAAATGTGAATTGTGCGAAAAAGCTTTTGCACGATCTGATCATTTAGCTAAACATCGAAAAGTTCATAGAAAAAAAATGGCACAGAATGGAAGCTACCTACTGTATCAAAAAAAGAACAAGGTATAGTTAATCTACACACTATTATAGATTTAGTTTTTCAAAAAACTGTATTGTAGAGTTAATGCACTTTAAAATTAAGAATATCCAAAACCTAACATCTATATTATACATATTTTGATGACCAGATTTGTTCAGTTTTATTAAGATTGTTTCACCTATAGGTTCGTTCCAGTGTTTTCATTAACATTATAATGCGTGTTTCATGTTTAACTTAAAAATGTCTGATATGAATTTTGTAGCAATAAAATTAAATGAATAAAATGTTTAGCTAAGTTTTAAACATTTATGGCTAGTCCCTTCATATCTTGTATCAGAACATCTAACATATATAATCAGTAGGTAAAAATATCTAAACTCAAATCTCTAGGTTGAAATTTTTTAAAAATGCTAACCGTCCTTTGTTCAATTTGCATGGGACCCAACTTCCCTTTTCCATAAATATAAGAGTCTATATTATAGACCAGTTTCCAGCTTTATATTCAGTTGAAGGGGTTTGGTTACCTAATAATTTAAAATGTTTTTCTATCATAATAAATTCAGTCGAATTCACGCCTTAAAAATTAGTTACTTAAGTATTCTTTTAATCAGGAAAAAAGAGACTATATGTATAGGGTGTACGGAAATAAAAAATGCAACAAAAAATGTTCCAAGATTCTTCAACAAAAAATGTTCAAAGATTCTTCAAAAAAAAAAAAAAAAAATGTTTTCAGCAAAATGCAATCGAATATCGAATGCATAACGAGATTCGTTAATTGTAGGTGAGGTGGCTCGCAATAAACAAATTTAAACTTAATATTGAATGATTAAATAACCAATTTTCGAGAAAAACAGAAAAAATACGGATCTCCTATTTTCTTTTCAAAAATCTTTGAGCAAATTTTGTTGCATTTACTTCGTGACACCCTGTATAATGGCCTTCTTCAATGGCCTCGCAAAGCAAGGGAATTATTTATATTACATATCTATTTATATAGTTCAACTAATGTATGTTAGGCACTAATATTATTAAATACATACAAAATGCATTGTTAATTTTATACAAAGCAATAAAACATACATTGTTAACGTCTTGCTTTCTGGCCACAGCTTATGTAGGTGGTTTCGGTTCCAAATGCACTTTTTAATAGAATTAATTAGCCATGCATCAGTCATGATTATGATAGCAAAGCTCTATACTAACATTCCATATAGGTATGTATTAGGAAAACTTCGTGGCATATAGTTTGAAGCCTGAATGGTTAAACAGTGGAGATGCGATCATTGTTTATTGTGAGAAAAACTCTCATTTTCCGTAAAAGCTTCGATTGCTTCTTCAAAAAAAAAAAAGAAACTTACAAAGGTGAGTTAAAATTTTAAAAAAATGTTTTGTGTGAATACAAGAGTTGTGGAGTTTTGGCTAAATTTTTAGAAGCCATGGTCAGAAACAAGAAATTGAATGTCAGAAATGTAAAATCTTGCATAGTTTTTTTTCGGATGGGATACCCTATATTTGATTCCATATTCTTGAAGAGCACAATTTTCCTATTTCCTAAAATAAATAGTCTGTCTTGTGTGTTGTTTGGTTGAAGAGTCTCCTAATTTGGCTGTAATAATTGTAAAAATACTCTCATACTCTTCACAAATATAGATAAACTATAATATGTTTTTGAAATCGGAAAATTGCGCTCTTCAAAAGTAAACGAAATGTAGGGCATTCTATTTGAAAAAAGATGAAAGTACTCAAAATTTCAAACTTCTGACATACAATTTTTGGTTCTGAGTATGGATGCTTATAGTTTAGATGAAACTGCACAACTTTTGTAATTACACCTATCGTCTAACTGTAAAGGTGAAGGCTGCAGGTGGGGTCTAAAATTATATCCAGACACCTGTACCAAATATGCTAACAGGATCGTAGAACTTTTTGGCTTCTAAAATTTACGGAAATTAATTAGAAAAAAGCCAGAAAAGGTACGTGCCTGAAATAATGATATTATTCAATAAATATCTAATATTGCGACTTATTTATTAATGTCGTTCTGAATGTTCAATTTTTGTTTATTTTGATTTTGAAAAAATGTTAAGGTCGTTTTTTAAAGTTTTCAATGAATTTGACTCCCGCTCAATAAACCTTATTGCACATTTTTGAAAATCACCTGTTCAGTAATTTTTCTCAGTTGTTGAAGCCAGAGCAATATGAAAATCCATTGAACGTCCAGTTTGATCAACAAGTTGGGAAAGATCATAAGACTCTGGTTTTATACGTGTAGGTAAGTGTATCACTTTAATAATGTGAAAATGAACGTGAATTAGGTTTTCCATTTTCTGTTCATGAATGCAACTTTCTCGCAAACTATATAATTTATCTTATCTTATGTGAGAAATTTGTTGGGTTCTGCTCCTAGCTGGTGTCCAAGATTTGTAGGCTTTTCCCAAAAGAAACCAGCTTCGTGGGATGTTCGGTGCTCACTTTTTGTGGAGTTAGCCGTGCTTCTTCAAAGTACTTTCAGCCTCTTGCAATACTTAGCACAGAGTAGATTTTCTGAAGTTTCTATTGTATCTGTTCATATTGAGAAGTTGTTGATAACTTTTTGCTGAGATGGATATAAACCATGTTGTATTGGTTGTTTTGTTTTCTAATTCCATGCTTACGACTATTCTAATGTCTCTTCTGTTCATGTCGATAAGTTGTTAAGAACTTTTCGATGAGATGGATATGAACCATTTTGGGGTGTTGGTTTGTCTCTGAAATTTGAGCAAAAGTCTTTTTTTTAATCCTTAATTATTCGAATTATTTTCGATAATTTGTTATCTGAAATTCTAGTTGTAGAAAAAGTGAGAATAGAATACTAAATTAGAATTTTCAAGAAATAACTCTTTTTTCCCTCTACCTTATTGTTAAATGATGCACTTTAAATATCCCATTTTTCATTCCACGAATATAGTTATACCTATGTAACTTTTTTTTGTGGTTTCTATAAATTACCATAAATTACCATAGTGGATAGTTTTATTTTCTGTACTTCCCATCAATTAAGTAGGTACCTACCTATCTGAAAATGGACGCTGTCGAAAGTTTCACGTTTCTGTCAGCATTTCTGGGCCATTAATAAAACTGTAACTGAAGAAGCAATAAAACTGGTTTCGAACACGTTTACTGACAAAAGAGTTTTTCTTGAAATAAAGATTGGCCGTATCCCGTATCCCCAGCTAAGTATTAAAACATAGATAATTATTTATATCTAGGGTAGTAAGTACCTACTCGGGGGCTAGTATCAGGAAAGTGTGTATGTATCGCATTTTTGTTCGCTGCAATGAGGGAAAGCATACACAGACAGAGAATATTAAAGACTTTGATAAATGCGAATAAAGCTGCTAAAACATTTTCTTTGGTAAGTCCTTTTTGATTTTTTTTTTCTAGAAAATGATATTGAAAATTTAATTATGTAGCTCATGCAATGTTCGTTTTGCTCTTTGACAAATGGGTCACTTCGTCACTCTATTTGATCAGTGGAAATGTTTTTTATGAAAGTAGGTAATGTTTTAGAGCGTTTATTCATTTTGTTGCCCAACGGTTTACTCAGTAATAGAGTTAACTTCAATAAACCTGGGATTTCCTTAATCACCATGTAAGTGAGTGTTTCATGTTAAGAAGAATAAATTTTGACATTTTCCGATGTTCAAGTCTGTTTCCTGATACAAATTTTCAACCACAGGTATACGAGAAAAAAATGCCCCTGAACATACCTATTAATTTTTTTCGATTCTCCCTTGATTATCCGTTATTGGCCGTAAGTTAATCAAATATCTGCATGTGTATTCAAATCTCAAATCTTGGAGTAAGGCTGTAACAGTGCGAAAGGTAAAATGTATAGAATAGATAGATATTATACTTAATTTAAAGAATAACTTACTTGCCTACTTCTAATTCCATGGAAGGAAGTTTGTAAATATTTTAATAATATAGATACCTAACTAGGTACCTCTGTACCTGGGTACACAGTTAGTGTGTTTATATCACGTATTATCGCCGTACCTCTTTGTACCTATTAATTCTTTTTTGTATACCTTATATGATAAGAATTTGGTGAAAAATAAAATGTTATTATACCAATTATGATTGTTTTTGTTTTCATCTCTTTATTGATATAAATAACATGTATAAATTATTACTGACAAATTTGCTAGTTCTAAGTTTTATTTTAAAAATAACTTTAACGAGGGATAATTTTGTGATAACTGTAATAACTCGATCATGGTGTTCAATAAAACTATTGTGGGTTTCGATTTCAGTCTTTATTGTGTCGTAGCCATTGCAGAAGAGAGCCTTCTTCTTTTTGTTCACTGGTACCTATTCTATTACGCATGTGCGTATTCTAATTAATATTAGGGCTGTTCGCACAGCAATCACAAACCAGTCAGAGCGAACTTCATTGGTTGAAAACAATCAGAAACAGTCAGAAAACTAGTTTCAACCAATGAAATTCGCTCTGACTGGTTTGTGATTTCTCTGCGAACAGACCTATTATTGCTCGGCACGACCTTACAGAGAGGGACTCAAAAGGAATCCTAGGGCCGGATTCTCAACCTCTAGTCGCAACCTAGGTATCGTCCCGTTTATCCCATTGCCTTTCTACGAGCGAGTCGGGATGTTACCTGTCGACTAACGATTGAGAATCCCACAGCTATAATATGTATAATATGACAATAACCTTCCAACAATGTTTTATGGAATATATCCTTCATAAATAAAATTGCCTTCTGACATGTGACATCATTGATAAATCGGCACTAAATAAGCAAGCCTCGAAGCAAGCAGATTATTGCGAATAATTTCCTAATAGAAGTCCTCTATTTCACAGTGGCAAAAAGGGCCGTCTTGGTTCTTCAATTACTCCAAAGCATACTTAGGTAAGAAAAGGAAGAACCTTGTCGGAAGCAGATTCTCCATCGTCAGATGAGGCCCATCAGGGTCAATATTCATTTTTCATTTTAACTGGCAACAAGTTGCAACGCAAAATTTTATTTCAATTCTGTATGCGTTAAGCCGGGTCCAGACCAATAAATTTATATGTTGAATGTTGAATTCGACAAAAATACCTATTTGCGGCGCAAATATTTTTTTGTTGTGACTTTTTCGCGCAAATATGTGCGCGGCGTTGGTATATTTTTCTGCGATCCATTTTCGTGCCTCATGCGTGGTTTCACCACTACCACCACTCTGGCTTCTATACTGAAAAAGTTTTGTTGTCCAGTAACTTCTATGTTTACCATTTTCTCTTATTATTCTTATGTCGTAGGTAATTCAGTATTATATAAACTGCACACTTTTTTTTAATACTAAGTTGGGAAGACATGATAGCACAGAAACACTAACTATAGAGACAAAAATATTTCATAAAAATACTTTCAAAAAATAATTTAAGTCCACATCAAGACAAGCGTTCGACGCAAATCTCTTTGATGTTCGTCGAAAAACCGACAGACCGCGGATAGCATGTGTTGTATCTGGCACACATATTTGCGTGGTTCTCTGTGCGGCGCACAGTCCACATCTATAAATATTTTGATGAACACGAGCAAATTTGCGTCAAATAGGTACAACGCAGAACGTAAATATTTATTGGTCTGGGCCCGGCTTTAGGGATATTTTTGCACTAGAAAATTGGTCGACTTTGGAGCAATTCTAGGTATTAATTGTGATTGCTTGCGGAATCGAATCGTATTTAAAAAAAAATATGTCGTGGAAATGCTCTAAGCTTGGTGCAATTTAAAAAAAAATCCACATATTCCACTTGAAAAAACTTAGCAAGGTACCTACGTTTATGACTATAGAGGTGATAGAATTGATGTTTTGCAGCTGGTGATTGTCACATCCATGACAACATCCAGTGAATTTTCCTAATAGTACGTCACGCCAGGGTTATCTCTTGAAGTTTGTTGGGCTATTGTCATCTCTTTCGCGTCCTCTGTATTGGAAAAGCCGTTATAAAGCCTAGTTTGAGCTTGCTGATGATTACTGAATTTGTGCTTTTGTGATGATAGCTCTGGCTGCCATTTTCTTCATATATTGTACCTTGATTTCACGTTTGTGTCCTAGGTATATCGAACAACAGAATCATCAATAGGTACTCCAAAGTCCTAGTAAATTAAGATAGATTGATTTAGCAGATACTTGATGAAAATCCATTACAAATTTTGAGAAGAAATTTTCTAGATTTCCACAATTTTATTTATATAGTGCTGAAAAGGCACCATTGTGCTGGAACTTGTTATGGCATCATATAAATAAAATTGTGGAAATCTAGGAACTTTTTTGTTTTCTTCCAAAATTCAAGTAAAATTACTTAAAAAATGTTCTTCAATTACTTTTTAGTCTTAGAAGTGGTACCTACTATACCTATATTGTACTTTTATGTTTGGATATTTGTACTGGACTCTGCAAATACCTCTGCAAATACCTACTTTATAAAGTTCGTATTTGGTTCTTTAATTTACGAAAAATTTTAATAAATAATAATAATAATAATTTTATTTAAAACTGTTTGATTAGGTACATAATAATAAAATACTCTTAAGTCTAATGTCGAAAACAGTCCAATAAGAATGTAAAAGTTGCACCTAGGTGACTGAACACCTGTATGTGCAACGAAATTTAACACTAAATTCATAACTTATGCTAAAAACATAGTATTAATAATAATATTGCCTAAGCCAAATTTTCACATCAAAAATAGGGCCCTGAAACTGTGCAGATTATCAAAAATAAATTTTCTACACTCAATATTGAATCTTTGTCTTGACAGAGTCCTAACTTGTAGAGGCAACATGTTCTACAGTTTGGGAGCGAGGTAAGTATATGATCTCATATTTTTATATATTTTAAAAAAGTAATTTAAATACTGGGCATGTTTACTTGAAATACCTAAAATATTTTGAATACCCTAAAAAGTAATTCGAATATTCCTCCAAATCTGAAATTAACAAGTACCTACCCACAATCAGTACTTAGTTAGTTTGTTTTCATTATATTTAGCCCCAGTTGTAGGTACATTTGACTTCAAATAGTAGTTCAGTTGAACTCTACTGGTTAACTGGTTACTATTTATTTCCCAATTAATGTTCGTTTATGAATCAAGAGGTCCGTGGGATTTTCCAAAAGGGCCTTGCAAAAAACGTCCTAGATGTCCATGTGCTATTGAATTTTTTTTTTTAATATAATTGAGCACTTGTCAAAACCTTTAAAAATAGGCCCGTTGAATTTTTGTGCACATCAGTCATCATCATCTTCCTGCCCTTTGCGGCCCACTGCTAGGTCTCGATCCCCTACCTACTTGTCCACTCTTTTCTGTTTTGGGCAGTCCGGATCGCATTTTTGTATCGAGCGTCCAGCAACCCGCATTCGGGGTACCCGACCTCGGCACGTATCAAGCGCACGGTAGTACGAAAATCACTCGGACTACCGTATGCTCGATACTCGCGACTCGCGCCTACAGTCTCGAATATCTTTTTGAGTTTTCCTGGCTCCTCACCATCAAGCTACTTGATAATATGTACCTATTAGTTTAATTTTGGTTTTGGTAGTCAAATCGTAAAGCAATTTTAATTCTAGTAGTTCACTAAGTGGAATGGAAAGTATCAAAAAACTTAAAGATTAATAAGATTTTGCTATTTGCCTAGTTATTTGATGCTGTCTAACAAACTATCCCAAACTAACCCTAAGGCTGTCCTTACCTTAACCTTTTGCTCAGCTCCAATTTGGGTTAGTTTTGGTTAGTTTTGTTACTTAGAGACAGCATCATAAATAATTATTTACATCTGCCTGAATCTAATCTCCGCATTTGTCAAATAACGATTGCAGGTATACAAATCCTTAAGTAAATAGCAAAAATCTTGTTAATTTTTACCTGCTTTAAAATTTTTTAAATCGTTCTAACATATTTCAAAAAATAGGCGTTTTTTTTTGGAGAAAAAAGTATACAGATGATAATGTCATTGGAAGAATGGCTAACACAATAATTCAAAAATGTTTTTGAAAAAACGTGAAAGTGGCCTATTCTATCTCGCCATGGTATTCTATTCATGGTAAGGTTATGTAGATAAAACATAATTTTGCTCTTACTTATTCCCTTACCTCGACTTCCTGCTTAGTCTTGAAATTAGTTCGTATTTCGCTGGAATCGACAATGTGGTACATATAATTTCAGTGCATAATAAATGATAAACAATTAAAAAAAAAAACTGAATTGTTGGACGCCGATCCATAATTTCGCAGAAGACTAGTATCAAGCGTACGGTAGCTTGACAATCGATCGGGTTATCAGACGCTCGTTATGAGACAGGCCTCGGTTAATACGACGTTACCCGAATGCGGTATACTGGGCGCTCGATACAAAAATGCGTCCGGATCACCAAATTTTTTTGATGTCATCTGTCCTGTCCAGCCAGTTGGAGGTCTTCCTCCGCTTCTTTTGACCTTACGTGATCTCCACTCACAGCCTTTTTGTCCACGTTCATTCTAGCCACGTGTCTGGCCAAGTTCCATTTGAGCGCGGATATACGGGTGATAACGTCTACAACTTCTGAACTTCTGTTCTTTCAGTTTTCGTGCAAACAGATTTATTTTTTTATTGCGCGTCCTATATAATTTTTTTCAATAAATCGTCCAGTATGGCATCAAGAATTTTCGAATAATACTGGATTTTCAAGTAGACCAATAGGAGGAATTATAAAAGATTTTATGCAGGAAATTCTGGAAAAATTACGGAAGGCTATTATACCAGACAGAATCAAACTGGGAAACTTGATATATTGCCAGATCAGAGCAAAGAGCGACCTCTAGGAGTCTAGTTAAATAAATATTGAAAAAAAAATCCAAGAAATTAACTTTTATGACATTTTTAAAAAGGATGTTATAACTCTCCCAGAGCAAATATCCTGGAATGTGCTTGAGGGTTGTGTAGCTTCCTCAATATCCAAAAAACACCTACAAAGCGTAATAATTATTTTTTACGAATTTTCAAACAAACCAAAGAGGGGCTGGAATATCGTTGTGCTCTTCACAATAGAAATATTCTTCGCATTATTCGGCATTCGAGACTTCTTGATTATCCTTGTCATCGCACTTCCCAATTCCAATTCAGTTTTTTGTATTGTGCAGGGCCGTAGCCAGGGGGGGGCATTGGGGGGCAATGCCCTATCTTTCAAATGATGATGCCCTACCTTTAAAACACTACATGCGTTAAGGTTTCCCTAGGAAATTTGAAAGAGTAAACAATGAAATTAATTGAAATAAATTAAAATCGACATTTGCACAGAGGAAGATTTTTCTTTGGAAAGAGTGCCAAATAGTCCAAGGCGGCACGAGAATCAGCGCCATTTTGTTCACTGCCCAAGATGTTATTTTTTGACAAGATCTGGTTGTTACCTAGCAGGTACTTTCTATTCTCTAGCGCATAGAAAGTACCTGCTAGGTAACGATTAGACGTTTACCAGTCAGTCCATAATTTGGGCCTGTTGCCTGGTAATGCGGGTAACTTAATGACGCATCTAGGGTGCCTTGAAGATTTTCATTATATTGAGGCACCCCAGATGGCGTCATAAAGTTATAAGGCAACCTACCTCTCTCAAATAACATTGATTTATTGAAAAATTTGCTTTCGAGGCTATTACTCCTCTTTTGTTAACCTATAAAAAATTTAAGGGGGGGTGTATGCCCTATGTCAAATTTGTTATGCCCTATCACAAATTTGACTCTAGCTACGGCCCTGGATTGTGCAGCAACATTTCAATAAGCTACCTGAAAACTTCCAAAGCTTACCATTGGCCTCTTTTGAAGGGCATTAAAGGCATACCTCAAGGAGAACCAGTATAGGTAAATCTAGAGAAAATAAATTAAATTTTGGTGTAATTGTATCTACAAATAATCAACAAATGATATTTTTTACTTCAGTCACAACAAAAATTTGAGAGGGCATAATCGAAAACTATGTCCAAAAAAAATGTAACAGTATACCTTGAAGAAATTGTCTTATTACTATGGTAGTTTACCATTGCAATAACTTAAGCAACATCACTATGTTAGACCAGTGTAAGAACCGCCTAGACCATGAAATGAGAAAACAAAAATTAACCTTTAATCACACTACAATCTTAACCTCACTTAAATAGAAATAAGCTGTAAGTGCCTCACAATAATTAATACAATCAACTATACCTGTGATTGCAATCAAAAACACATACGTTGCTTTCGGCTTAGCAGCACCACTTGAGCAACTTGAGGCCGATATTACTATATTACTATTCTTGTGGCCGGTTTATTAACCTTCTGATAAACTGGCATGTAATTCAATCTCGGAGCCTGTATATGGTAAAAACTACTCCAAATGCTACATTGTGCAACTATATTTCATAAAATTTTCTGTATTCGCCCTTGAGCAGAGCAGCAAAAAACTTCGCCGCGTATTTCTAAATTAAAGGCACTATTTATTTATTTATATATTCATTTATTGAATCATAAAACCTGGTGGCATGTTATGACAAAATAAGATGTTTTTTTTTTGTTTTTTTGTGAAATAATTGGACTTATTTCACAAAAAAACAAAAGATTAACTAATGTGCAGCAAGCGCCGACGACTTAGTTCTCTTCGACGGCTTTTCACCAGTTTTGGGCGCAGTTTTATTTGTTTCGGCTTCAGTAAGCCATAATTCAATGTGGCATGGTGAAGACATGTAGGGGTTAATTCTACCGTGAGCACGGTAAGTACGACGTCTCAAGCATGCTGCTCTGTTGACCTGAAAAAAAAAATCAATTCTTTAGATAATATATAATACATATAATAATAAATAATAATTCAGTAGCCAGCACATTCCCCTCCTCATCCTACTACCCAATATAAAATAAGTGAGGCCGGCGGGCATCATATTTGCTAGGAAACACACACAAGGTAATTTGAGAACGAAGAGAATGTGTCCCTAAGAGAAAAAAAAAACACCAAACCACAAGTGGAACAAACACAACAGTGGCGAAATACAGGGTATTTCACTCAATAATTCTAATGTTACCAATTTGAACGAAAACAAATTTCTGGGTATATACATTGATGACAGATTGAAGTTTGAGGCCCATGTTGAAGCTCTCAATAGGAAGTTGGCATCTGGCTGTTATGCACTGAGAACTATCAGTGCCCAACTTGATAGGTCGATGGCACATAAAACTTACTTCGCCTTGATCGAGTCCCATTTGGGATATGGTGTGTGCTTTTGGGGTGTTTGCTCTAAGCGACTCTTTAATAGCGTATTTATTTTGCAGAAGCAGGCAGTGAGATACATATGCTGAGGAAAAGTTAGAGACTCATGTTGGCGTTTATTTCTGTTGGAGGGAATTTTGACCTTGCCAAGTATTTTTATATTGGAAACTGCTTGTCTTGTGCAGAAGAAGTATAAGCAGAGGCAAGGTGTTGCCTATTAGAACGCAGTTCTCGTCTTTCCCATTCGCGTAACTTGCCTATACCTAACAGTGCACAAACCAAAAAGTCGCTAATTTACAATGGTAAAAAAAATTTCAACCATTTACCACTTTTCCTTAGGCAAATAAATAATGATACGATTTTTCGTAAAAGCCTAAAGGCATTATTGCTTTTTATGACATTGAGGATTTTTTTCTGGAAAATTTGCAGTGAGTCACTACCTCGGGTCACTGCTTGGTTGTTTTTCGGTTTTATTGTTTAATTTCCATTTTTATGACTGATTTTAGGCATTCTATTTCAATGTTGATTGTGTATTTATATACTCCTGGACAAAATTATCGCACCACTGCACATAAGCACCACCATAAGCAGTGGTGCGATAATTTTGTCCAGGAGTATATTTTAATCAGTTTGTTTTTAAGTGTTTGCAAGTGTTATATTTTTTTATTGAATTTTATTTTATTGTATTTTAAGTAACTAGTTCTAAGGCTTTTTATTGCGGTGTTTATAGATTTAAGTATGGCTTTGTCAATAAGATTGGATATCTTCGATAATAAAGCAAATTTTGATTGATTGATTGAATAATTTTTTAATTTATTCACAGAATATATGGGATTCCGATATCCCTATGTTAAGGCCATCTATTTGTAAATAAATTAGCCTACTTTCAAAGTCTTTAGCCAAGTCTTTTCAGCTTTGTTCTAATCCGGCAGGGAACCATGCATTTTACCATCAGGATTCCGCGCAAAAAGTAAAATTTGTGAATAGAATTTGAAATTCGTATACAGAGTGGTTCCGAAACCATTCTTGGGATGGTTTTTTGGCAGGTCGGACCAGACCTTTTGTTGTCTTGTAGTGAATTCATTCATTAAAAACGAAATTAAAGGAGTTTTTAACTTCCTACCTAAAACCCTCTTAAAAATTACCTAGAACTCTACCAAAAAATTAAGATATTATGCTATTAGACTGTGAGATAGGGGCTGTTTAGTGGAGTCATTTTTTTTTGTCTGGCATTTTGAGTGCTGAATGTGGCTCCTAAGCTGATGAGAATATGGAAGATTTTTAATGCCAGCCTCCCGTTCGAAAATTTGCAGAAGAAAAAAATTGATTTACATGAAGAATTTTTTTTTAATGGTCTCAAATTTTCTGGCTTTTAAATAAAAGATTGACATTGATAAATAATTCACCCATGAAAAATATCAGATACTTTTCAATAGCTGAAAAAATGGGGATGGGTGTTAACTTCCAAGAGAAAAGAAAAGAACCTTCCGCGTTTACTTTTTGTCTGGCAATCGAGAGAATGGAAGGTTTTGTTGTGAAAATAACGCTGAAAAATCGCCAGACGGTAATCACAGTTCGAAATCGAGTTTTCCGGAGGAGGCAGGCATTAAAACCACTTATATTCTCATCAGCTAACTAGTCACATTCATCCCTCAAAATGCCAGACAAAAAAAAATGACTCCACTAAACAGGCCCTATCTCAGGGTCTATATGGAAAGGTTGATTGATATGGAATCTTTATTGCCGATTCAAGGTGGCCTTAGGCAGAGTCAGTCAGAGTAACTCTCAAAAAGAACGCTCTTTTGGATCCAAGTGTCCCATGAGTGGCATTCGCATGGAGTCACACCAACCAGTGAGGTAAGCGAAGAGGTAAGGTTTCAGGCGAAAGGAGTTAGCGAGACTTAAATACAAAATTCACTTGCTTTTATAGTAGCTGCCATAGATATTCGAGATTCCTACAAAAAAATATTTATATATAAAGCAAAAACCGAGGCAAAAACTCCACAGATGAAGGTTGAGAATCAATTTAGTCCAAGAGCATCAATTTAGTCCAAGAGCATCAATTTAGTCCAAGAGCATCAATTAAATTCATTTTGCATTAGTATTCGCTGTGTTTTAACCGACATAAGAACCGTTCTAGAACGGTAATTTCCAGTCAATCAATTCATTTGTCAAGTAGGATAAACGTTCAACTTATTGAAAAATAGATGGGCAATTGGAAATTAGTGGTTCTGGAATGGTTCTCATGTCGGTTGGAACAGAGCTATAATTGTATTGTTCTGGATTAAGTACTTAATTTTTTGCATTAAATATTTAAAAGATCTTTTCAGAAAATTGAAAAATAATTTTAAACATTATTTACAACAATTTAAATCTAATAATTTCATACCAATAAAATCTTGTATGTAAGAAGTAGTCACCTGAACCGTACCTGTGCCTTCTGACTGAATCCAGGCCGGCTGATAAAGGGACATACTTTTTTGTTTGGAATATCTCCAGCGGCTACTATAACAGGGGTAATGATAAATAGCAATAATGTTTTCTGGGTTGCAGATTTTCTGCTCGGCACCGTGATACATAATGTTCATGATGGCTACTTTGTGTATGATATATATTTCTAAATATTTATTAAACACCTTTAATTTTTATGAAAACCCTAATTTCTACTTATTTTCTATTTTGTACCAAACTTCTGTTATTCGATAATTGTAGCCCTGAAATGGCTTAAATAACGAAATAAGTAATTTCCTTAGGTAGATTCTGTTCTATTCCAACAAACCACTCTATGAATCAAATTTAGTATTTTTCTTATTCACAACTGATTACTGATACCATGAAATAATAATATGATTGTTGTTTCTATTTTATGTGACAAGCTTTTTACATATTTTGTCGAGTATTTTGTCGAGTATTTTGTAGTAGGTCAAGGCAGAGGGTTTACTCATGATTTATTATTTCAATCATCTGTTTTTTATTAGTACTTTTCCTATACAGTAAGTCCTGTCATAACAATAACTATCTTAGGAGAAAATTTCACCAAGCTCAAAAGGTATTTATAGAAATGAAATACTGATAAAAAGACTTCTATAGCAACTGCACATTGAATTGAAAGTGTTCCATAAGACAAACATCTTTAAAAAAAAGGGAAAAGTTAGTTGAAAAGCATTCACACAACACTGGATAAATATGCTTTGTTTGGATAATAAATTTTTTTTGCAGAATTACTTCATATAATTAAAAATTTTGGCATACTTATGACATGCATTTAGATGTTTTTTTTTACTACTAATAACGTGAACCAATTAAATTACCCCCTTTAATTGAAAACGCATTTGTAATTAATGAAATTATTTTATTCCACAAAAAAAAGATTACTAAAAATCTGGTAGTACCTAATTACCTAACTGCCTACCAAATTCAACCAAACTGTGCAATAACTTTCATTTTTCATCAGGGATCGACCGATACCGATATCGTATATTGGTATATCGGCGTATCGGCCTTTTTCAGGTATATCGGTGTATCGGCATATTGGCCCTTCATTGGCCGATAACTTTAGACCGATACAAATCATATTTTAAAAGATCAGTAATCATCACTAAGGCTTTTTTGAAGCTTGACAGAGCTAATAATTGTGGTTCGTACATATGGGAGTGACTAAGAAGAAAGTAAATATTAGAAATTGTCTTTCATAAATTTATTTTAAATTAATTAGGTATTTATATAAAAAAAAAACTTAACATTCTGCTTATCTAAATTTGAAATTATTTATTTATTGAAAAAAAAAACTTTCTGTTCATCTGAACTCAAACAAACAATATTAAAACTAGGAGAAAACAAATAAATAAAACATCCAAACTAAAGGTAAAGGTGCGAGAAAACAAATAAAACATTCAAATTAAAGGAAAAGGTGCGAGAAAACAAATAATATATCGGTATCGGCCTTATATCGGTATCGGCCTTCTATAAAGCCATATCGTATCGGTATCGGCAATATCGGTTTTAAAAAAAAAAAAACCGTATCGGTCGATCCCTGTTTTTCATAAGTAAAAAATGTTCAACATATTTCAAGTGGACCCTAAAAAATGATACATTATATCAGAAGCTTGTTTAACAAAATTAGAATCTATATGATTACATACTACCTTTTTATTGTTTTTATGAATTCTTACCAAAAATAGGCACATATTTTTTAAAAAGACAAGGAGAAAATAAATGACATTTGAGGTAAAGTACCCAGTTGTTGACATGTTAAGGGTATCCCTGCTTATGATCACCACACATTTTCCAAATTTTCAATCCCAAGGCTTTGATATATTTTTTGGCGTGATTCCAAACTCATAATTAAATGTGTAGATATATTATTTACCCATGGGCGTCGTTTGGGGGTGGGGGGGCATTTGCCCCCCCCCTAGAAATAGTCTTTTGAACAATAAAGCAGTAAAAGAGAGTTTGTATTCGTATTGCTTTTTTCCATTTTTTCAAAATTTGTTAGGTACTTTGAAAAATTGGCTGACATTTCCATTGCATTCAACGGAATTGAAT